GAACCCCCGGGCCCATTCCGTTCACCCCCCCCGGGCGGGGGGTTTTTAGCCCCGGGGGTAGTCTCTCCCCCCCCCCCCCCCCTCCCCAGTGCCTCCAGGGCTCCCACCGCAACCTCTCACAGACTAGCGCGCAGCGCCAGCGGAGGCAGCTGCGTCTCAACCACAAGGCCCGTGGAGCAGGCGGCCTCGCCGGCGCGGCGACGTGGGCGACATGTCTGCCGCTGGACGCGGTCAAGACGCACTACCAGTCGGACGTGGTGGCGTTGCCCGAGATGTGCCGAGATCGCCCGAGATCGCCCGAGATCGCCCGAGATCGCCCGAGATCGTGCGACCTCCCGAAAACTGCCCATGAGTGCGTAGAGGGGTCGAGGGGGCTGCTCTGACGACAGAGAGGGGGACAGACCGGGAGAGGGGCGCTCGCTCCGCAAGTCGCCTGTGAACGGCGCCTGCCCTCTCACCCTCTTTGGTGCGGCCAGGCGCACCGCACGTACCGGGGTGCTTGCCGCGCCATCTTTCGGGCCTCGGGCGTCGGAGGCCGAGATCAGCCGAGATTGGCCGAGATTGGCTGAGATGCTAGCCGTGGGCGGCGTGAGCGGCGCCTCTTCACACCTCTGGCTGTGAACTAGGCTTCTTCGCGGGCTTCTGGACGATGGTGCTCGGCGGTGTGCCGCGCGACGCGGCTTGCTTTGCGGGGACCGAGGCTGCCCAGCGAGCGCTAGCTCTTCGCCGCATGCCACAAGCAGCAAGCACAGCCGCTCGAATAGGATTTGAACCCCGCAACTCTTAGAACCTCTTTTGGGGGTCGGTGGACTTAAAGAATTGACTGCTGTCTTTTTTCCAACGACCAGTACCCGCGCGGGCAGGATGAGGAAAAGGAGCCACGCACCCGGACAGGTGCCCCACACGGCATATTCAAAACAACCCCCCCCCATACCCGGTAGGTCTTTACACAACTCCGCCACAACGTGGACGGTGGAGATGTGACTCCAGGGGGCTGCGCCTATGACGTATGAGCTATGCACTGGGACGTACACACGTATCTCAGTATGGCTAGTTCCATTTCACTGTGGCACAGCTCGCGTTACAAAACCTTGATTTTGACCTTTGCGCGAAAAAGGTACATCTCGGTGCCTTCCAGAGGCAGCTGCGACCCCGCCGAGTGGACGGTAACGCACAGCAGGTGGCGCGGTGCGTTACCGTCCACTCCGCTGGGTCGCAGCTGCCTCTGCGCGTCCTGGGTATGTACCTTTGTCGCGCGCCGGAGACGACTCGACGCCGCTGAGATCGGAGATCAAGCTCTGACAGGTCGCACGTCGCTCCTTTGACGCCGACGTGACTCACCCGTGCAGATCACATCAGGACACGGTCTCGACGCGCTCGGTACGACGCCTGCGACCCGTCTCGGGTCAGGTGGCACGACGCTCATCGCGCCAGCCAGCGCTGCCGTGCAGGTTGCCACGACGAGGTCGAGCACGCTTCTATACGCTCGCCGAGCCTTCCTTTCCATCCCATTTGGCAGCCTGGGAACGGTGGCGGTCAGAGGCAAAGCATACGAGGGGTGGTGGAACCACATGTCACGGCTACTGCCGGCTCGACCCCACGATAGCCTCCAGAGGCTGACTTTGAGGCACAATCATCGGACGACGTCGGCGAGTTGAGTCGCGCTCGCGGTAGCCAGATGACCTCTCATACTAGTATCATCGGCCATGGCCGCAGGAAGCGCGGGGGAGGGCGCTGGGAGCAACACGGAGCTCCGTTGGACGTTTTCAAGATTAGCGTGTCAGAGTGAAATGGAACTAGCCTATGCAGCTACTTCCTTCGCTATCTCACCAAACCATCTCTTTCTCTGTACTGCCATATGCGGCCATGCAATACTGCCTGTACACAGGCTGGCAACGACACGTACAGGCGCCCGCGCGCGACCTCCCACGGCTCATCACGCGCTTTGCAGGCAGGCCGCCATGCTGCGTGGGCCATGGGGCGCCGGCGCGACCACGCGAAGGGCGGCCCAGAGAAACGATCGTGGTGCCATCTGCAGCTCAACGCGCACGCTGTAGTCGGCGCGCACAGTATGCGTAGAGTTCTCGGGCACCTGCCACCGAGTGGGATTGACGAGGGAGCCGCCCCAGGCCAGCTCGACGGAGGCACCAGGGGCGACGCCCGCATAGTAGAGCGGCAGCTCCACAGTCCGTTTGATCGTCGCCTCGGTTGGGTTGAAGAGGTTGGCCATGGCTCGGGGCTCGTCAGGCTTGGCGGAGGCGTTGACGTGCACGATGACCTCGAGGCCGCGGCCTGACGGTCGGCTGACATGCACCATGTCCGCAGAGAGGATTCCACGGTACCTTTTGTAGTGCGCCACCCATAGCGTCCACATCCGCTTCACATCCGGGCTGGCGTCGTCGTACAGCTGCGGTCCGCGGTACGCGGCGATGTTACCTTGGCCGAGGAAGCTGGCCGCCGCTTCCTCCAGCGTGTGTAGGTGGCGGCTCAGCGGTGGCGGCGTGCGCGACATCTCAAAGGCCATCCACCCCATGGTCGTGGGCTTGTGCGTGGTCCCGTCGTACAGATACATGCGCGCGAGCTCAAGGTACTCTCGCGTGCCAGAGGGCGTCACGGGGATGCGATTCCATGCGTCGGTGTACCCCATCGGCTCCTTGTTGGTGCCGCCGCTACTCCAGTAAGGGTCGGGCACGGTGTTGAACGTGTTGAGCTCGCGCTTGAGCGTGCGGTAGAAGTCGACCGTCGCGCGATACTGCGCGAGCTGTGAGTTGTTGACGTGCGCAAAGCCAGACTGGTCTGTCTGCGCGCAGGTCGCCCCTTCGTACGGCCCATCCGTCTCGAGCAGGTCCATGGTCGTGGCGCGGAGGAAGTTGAGGATATTCGCGCGGTACGTGCTGTGGAAAGCCGTGGAAAAGTCGGCGATGCGGGCCGGCATCCCCGAAGGCGCCTTGGCCCCATCGGGGCTCTGGCAGTAGTCGTTGCCGCGCAGGTTGGGAGGGTTCTGCATCAGCGTGTACCCTCCGATCATGACGCCTTTGGATCGGCAGTAGAGCGTATCGTTCTTAACTTGGGCAATGTACGTCTGGTTGGTGGAGCTCGGGTCGAAGCCCGAGCCAAACGAGAGGAGGATGGCCTCGAAGCCAGTCGCGTGCGCCTGATCAGCGACGCGTCGGATGCCAGCTGACGACGCATCTGTCGAGTAGAAGTAGAGCGGGGTCTCGGTCACCTGCGGAAAGAGCGTGCGCACGACGCGCCGGCGGGAGAGCGACTGGCGCGGGAGGTCGTCGCTGTCGAAGAGGGTCAAGAAGACGGTGAAGAAGGACTGCGACTCGCCCGGTCGGATTGGCTGCCACGGGCCGAGCGGGTACTGCACCTGAAGGAGTAGGCCGTTGTTTGCGAGGTCCGCGTGCAGCGACTGGTCGTGGATGCCGCTCTCATAGTCTGGATCGATCCACCACGCCTAATTTATGATCAGCAAGTTATCCCCCGGTCGTGCGGTTGTACGGGTCCGAGAGCCCTCACCGGGTAGTTCATGCGATCGCCAGCGTACGAGCCGTTGCCGGGGTCGGAGGAGGGCTGCTGCGCGAAGCCCCAAAACGTCTTGCGTGGCATGTAGTCCGTCTCCACGTGCACGCGCCGCTTCCCATTCTCTGTCACGTGCAGCTCTTCCGTCACCACCCTCTCCACGAGCACCGACCCGCTGCTGCTGCTCGGCGGCGCGCGCACCTCCACTCGCTTGGCCAGGGTGGGTACGTTGTCGTACCTGTTCACGGTAGCCCGTGTGAAGAGAGGCTCCCTGCAATTAATTAATAATAATGTATAATCATACATTTCGTAGACGATCGATACACGCAGGTTGCATCCACAGCCACAGCGGGTCGGAGGCTTGAAATCCACGCGCAGCTCCACACCGCGAGGCGGCCACGCCGCCATCACAGAGTGGCGCTGGCCCGGAGTCCACGCCCAGCGCGCCTTGATGGGGGCCACCTGATGCGACTGGTAGCTCCAGTCGTCAGATCCGGCAGTAAGATTCCACGCGTCCATATCGAGCATCGCGTAACGCCGCTGCCCGCGGAGCCCACCCACTGCGCGCCCCGCTGATCCGGTGCTGCCGCCGCTCTCATTCCGGTCTGTCAGACCCTCGAGTGCATCGGGTGCGTAGGGAAGGAGCCGCCGACCCGCGTTCTTTGGGTCGTGATCCGGGCAGCTCAGCTTGAGCCGCGCTTCCGGCGCGAGACCACGGAGAGCCTCCGTTGGGCCTCCCACCACGGGGACTTCACTCTGCAGGGAGACCGTCGCCCAATTGGGCGTGACGACGAACCGTCGGCTGATGAGGCCATTGCTCAGAAGCAGGGTCCCGTCCGGCTGCTTTGTCAATGTGGACGCAGCCGGCGGTCGGCTCACCAGCCAGTCCTCCTCTGGTATCATGCCTCTTGCGGGACAAGTTAGCAGCAGCAGCGCGAGCAGCTTCATGTGTGTGTCGTCGGATACAAAATGGAGCTCGGCTAGGGTTGCGCAGCTATGAAGAGGAGCGAGTTCGCGCTGCGCTAGCTCAAACGGCAAAAGAGTTCGCGCTGGATTCGAGGTTCTCTGGGGGGTAGGCCGTCCGGCCGTGCGGCACGGCTTCGCGCGATGCAGTCTGCGCGAGGTGACCCGCCGGCAATCGTGCTCACCCCTCAGAGCGTGTCCGCAAAGGCCGTGTCGAGCCTGTCTGCTGTGAGAGAGAGTTGTTTTGTTTAAATTCTACATACATAGACTACATGCACACCCACACGGACAAGTGCGACCGGCACTCAGCCGCAGCGCGCACGCTCTCTAGGCCGCGCCGCACACGGTGCGTGTTGCCGCTGGTTTTGACCTTGGAGCACTTGGACCCTCAAACGGTCCGCAAGAGCCTCTCATAGAAGCACTTGGAGCACTTGGAGTGCAGTCATCAGCCTCACATCCAGGGCCGGGGAGCTAAGAAGCGCACCCAGCGGGCCGGATGATCGGGATCGGGTTGCGGGCAAGAGAGCCCTAGCCCCGGGGGTGCGCGTTCGCAGGGCAAGGGCCGTAAAGTAAACATAGGTCTCCAAGGGTTAGCCCCGCGTACCGGGTTTCCCCTTAACTGCAGGACGCCCCCTCTACTCGGAGCTAATGAACACCACACTGTACGCCCCACACCACCAGAGTCTGCACTCACACGCACAGGCATTTGAGTAGACCCCCCGCCTGAGGGCTCACCCCCGGTCTTCCCAGGGTTCCGACCCTCCTTGATTCGCTCTCTTGCTCATCTCCCGAGCGTTATGCGACGACCGGTGTGGACGTTTCCCTCGCTGTTGGTGTCGCTTTCTCTGCTGCCGCCCTCCGCCTCCGCCAGGCGGCGGTCACGCGACGAGGGAGGGAGGGAGAGCCGCAGGAGCCCTCTGTGGAGCAGGCGCCCAAAAGCGGCGATGAGCGGCGCCGCGATCAGCCACCTGTGGGCGGTCACCGGGGTGGCGCCAAGCCTCAGCGAGCTGGATCCGGGAAGGGCAAGGGGTCGCGCGGGCCCTGTCCGCAGCACTTGAGCACTTGAGCACTGGATAGGGTCGATTCCGCATGGTACGGGACCCCTCGATCGTCTCGCCCTCCCTCACTGGTGTGTTCATCGGGGGGGGGTCATAACAAACACGGTACAGGATCGAGGTGCACGCTGCCAAAGCAGTGTCGTCCCCCCTCTCCCCGACGGCGATGGCGGTGTGACCGATCGAGCTACAAGAGGAGCTTGGTCAGCAGGATCCGGGATAGTCAGATGCACTACCTCACAAATCCGCAGCAAGCAGTGCTAACTAAAACGACAAAATTCCGGATGGACCGGAGAGTGTCTACTCTTTCGACGCATCGTGGTCCTCGACCCCGCCGAAAAGCTGGCTGGTGGTCGCGCGCGGCGCGTCGGCGTGGCTATAAGCCGGATGAAGATTCTGCCCCACACAGCCCCTTACCCCTTCAGCTTCACCCTCGCCTCGCTGCTTGGTGTTTCTGAACACGTAGACGACCACGCTGTGGGGGTTGTGTGCGGGTTGTGTCTGGGAGGGAGGGAGTCTTTGGGAGTGGGGTGCACAGGCTGCTCACCCACGGCCACCGGGCCGGTGCTTGCACTTTGAATGCCGTGGGGCTCCTGCCCGTGTCCCGGGCGTGGAGATGCGAGGGTCGCCCCCCCTTGCCCCACCACTTTGTTTGTGTGGAGACGTTTACCTTACCTTACCTTAAAGCCGTAGAGGGCGTCTCAGCCGCCCCGCCTGACACTGCACTTCATGCAGGCACATGCGGCCCCCTCCACCATCCTCGCCCAGGGATCTACAATGCTGTCCTAAGGTCCGATCTGTGGGCTCTGCCTGCGCTCGGCACCGGGCACCGCCTCGGTCTACAAAATGCGCCTGCGGGCGGACCCTTACAGATCACAGAGCTCACAGATCATGGCACATGGCGGTCCACGGCAGAGTACACAACGAGGCTCCGCTCGCGCCTCTCTCTACAGCGCGGTTGCGGCGCCGCTGCCAACCTTGCCCCCTCTCCGCCGCGCCCGCTGCACCCACCACACGAGGAGCGCCGCAAACGCGAGCAGGAAGAGGGTCGCAAACAGCAGCAGCGGCCAAAGGTCCCAGCGGTTATTCTCGCCGAGCACGCCCGCAGTGTAGCCGACGGCAAAGAGCTCCATGACGAGTCCAAGCGCGGCGAGAGCGACCATTATGCGGGTCAAGCCGTCGCCGCCGCCGTGGCGTCTCGCCTGCCAGATCGCCACTCCGTGGCCGCACAAGCAGCAGACTGCGACTCCACCAAGGACAAAGCCGAGCAGTCCGACGCGCAGGACGTCACACCCGCTGCCGACGCAGAGAGCAGCCGCGGGAGGGAGCCCCAGGAGAGCTATCGAAGGAGAGGGTATACGTCGAGCGGGCATCCAGAGGACCGGGCTGAGAAATTGGAAAAAGAATGCACAACCCCTGCACGGGTTTTATTAAATGAAATCGATTGCCATACAGACATGGGTGCGAAACAACGACACGACCAAGGCACGGGCAGAGGAACGAGAGAAGAATATAGGGTGGATAAAGCGCCTGTTCACGGCATGGAGGGTGAGCCACGCCGAACGTACTGAACGTAGAGCCGAGCGGGAGGAAGAGGGGGAAGACGACTCCGAGGAGGACGAACCAGTGGAAATCCCGTTGTCAGCCGTCACGATGCACCCGAAGGGGACCACAGCGCCGGCATCATCAGTGAGGGCACAAGTGTTCGAAGAGAGAGTGGACCTGAGCAACAACATGACCTGGAGGCAAATGATCGGAGTGGGAGTCAGAAATGTGGTCCTTGCGCGAGGGGAGCTCGATAGACTCGAGGGGCCAGGATATGCAGCGAGGAGGGCGGAGCTGCGCCGAAAGGCGCAAGAAGCCGCGAGAGCAAGGGACCGGCAGGAGGCGGCGGCGCCGCAGAACGAAGAGAGGAGAGCGACGCGACAGAAGAAGAAGAGACAAGGGAAAGAACGACGAGAAGGGGGCGACCGCGAGGTGGCATGAAGGTCGCAGCGAGAATCTGCGAGAGACTGCGAAGAGAGATAGGAAGAGGCGGACGCCCAAGGGTGGGCGACGGCTAGCGCATCACACCCCTCTCCTTAAAATCCCTGTGTGGTGGCGGCGTGCCGTCCTCCCATCCCTCCCTTGGGTTGTCTGTTTTCTTTCTTTCTTTCTTTAAATGAACTCGGGGGCACAGGACGCGGTACAAACGGGGTACACCAAAAGGCACGGGCTGCCTGCACGGCGTTCACTCGAACGCCATGCACATGGCGCGGAGCAGCCCCGGGTTGGTGTCGAACCCGAGCGGGTCCTCCTCCCAATCCCGGCGCCCACCCTCCGCGTCATCCTGCTCATCGTGCGCGTCGAGCACCCTGCCGAGGCACAGGATCGTCCCCTTGGGAACGCCTGCCCCTCGCGCGCGTGGGAGCTCTCCCTGCACCGCCATCACGAACTTCTCGCGCGCCCACTTGCCGCCACGGCGGCAGTGCTGGGGCGCGCGCTCGCGCAGCTCCTCGTAGAGCTCCTCGGCCCTCGCCACCTCCGCCGCCCAGCCCTCCGCCGACGCCTGAGCCGACTTCTTCTCCCTGAGCGTCTTGAACACCGGCGGCGGCGCCGGCGATGGTGCCACCTCCGGCTCGCCCGCCGCCTCTGCAGCGCGCCGCCCCTTCCTCGCCTTCTCCTTGAGCCGCTTCCTAGCGCTCTTGGTCAACGCCGGCGCCGCCGCCGCGGCCTCGCCGGCCGCCGCACCGGCGATGGATGTCGAGGATGATGAAGATGATGAAGCCGTTGTCGCGTTGCAAGCGGGGCGGAGAGTGTCGAAAAAAGAAGTGACCGTGTCCGTTGTGCCAGCGCAGCCTGGCGCAGACGCCAGGCCGCGCAGGGGCGCGGCCAATGCCGCAGCCTCCCCGCTGCCCGTTTCGGGCTCCTCCTCCTTCGCCGCCTCAGCCACCTCTGCCGCCGCCTCCGCCGCCGCGCGAGCCGCCGCCGCGCGAGCCGCCGCCGCGCGAACCGAATCGCGAGCCAAGATCTTGAACTCCCTCTCGCGAGCCGCCGCGCAGACTTCCGCCCAGGAGCGCACGTCCCGGCAGCAGCGCACGTCCCGGACATCGCCACCAGCCCGGCCGCGACGCGCCTCGATGTCCTCATACGCCCGCACCGTCGCCATCGCCGACGCCAGCAGCCGAATCGCTGCCCCGTCGAGGAGGCAGCGTTCGTCGTAATTGGCGGGCCAGATTGTGGCGTATCCGCGGGCGCATATCACGCAACAAGGCCCGACACTCAAAGGGTCAGGAGGCCGGTAGGCATGGATGAAGGCCGCTGATGAAGATGATGAAGCCGTTGTCGCGTTGCAAGCGGGGCGGAGAGTGTCGAAAGAAGAAGTGACCCTGTCAGGGGTGTCCGTTGTGCCAGCGCAGCCTGGCGCAGACGCCAGGCCGCGCAGGGGCGCGGCCAATGCCGCAGCCTCCCCGCTGCCCGTTTCGGGCTCCTCCTCCTCCATCTCCGCCTCCGCCGCTGCCTCTGCTGCTGCGCGGCCCTCAGCAGCTGCCTGGCGCCTGTACTCCTCGAACACGGCCACCTCTCGCCGCACCGGGCACACCTGCCGGTAGGCCGCCGCCGCCGCAGCCCACTCCTCCTCATCCTCCCTCGCAGCGTCGATCGTCCCATCGCCGCTCGTCGGCAGCGCGGGCACCAAGGGGTCCAAACTGGACACCTCGGTCCCACCTCCGATTCCACCCTCTGCGGCCTGCGCATCACAGGCGCCGCTGTCCGCCTCTTGGGGGCGCGCGCCGCCGCGGCCCTCGCCGCCAGCCGCCGCCCCGCCGCCGTGCTCCTCGCTAAGTGGCCACCGACAGCCGGCGGCACGAGCTGCACCCGCGGCTCCACGGCGATGTCGACCGACGAGAGCGCCCTCTCGAAGCGCTCCAGCTGCGGCAGCGCGCTGGCGGAAGAACCGGTGCCGGCCATGGCTAAGACGGAGAGCCTGCGAGCGAGCAGCCTTTGCATGTGCGGGTCCAGGGCAAGCCACCGTGCCGCCACCAGCGTCGGCTGAGAAGAATTACTCTTCCGCGCCGTGTAGTACTCCCTTGGCTTGTCCGTTTTCTTTCTTTCTTTTCTTTAGCCGTGTAGTACGGGAGAGAGACCTAATGCATCTCTGACATGATGCGGCTCATACTACCTCCACTGCCTGACTAAGCACGGTGGTGTCGGGATGCGCGCGGGCAAATATGCGGCGCACGATCTTGTTGAATTCACGAACGTCGCCGAAGCCCGCTTCGATCACCGCCAGAAGCCGCTCGCGGTCCTTGGGCAAGAAGCACTCCGCCTTGGCCGCGTCGAAATTCTGAAACGTCGCCGTGAGCTCTGCCTGCCCCTGGGTTGGATCCTTGCGCGGATCGGCAATGAGTAGGACCTCGATCCGCTCCGCGGAGCCTCCCATGCGGAGGAACGTGAAAATCTCGAGCAAACACTATGGGGGGGGGGGGGGGGTCAACGGGCTCGCGCCGAAAGTGTATGTGACGGAGCGGCGGCGGTGGGTTAGAGAGCGGCCACTCTCACCCAGAGGCGGCGGCAGAAGGTCGGCCCCGCCACAACGAGCAGCCTCTGGCAGCCCGCGAGGAAGATTGGCAGGCACGTGAGCGCTTGATCAATGTTGGTCTGGTCAATGCAGGCTTTGTCTAGCCACAGCGTGGGTTCGTGCCCCGTTTCGCGCCGCTGGCAATGCGCCCAATGCGCAATCACCGCGTACTTGGCACCGGGGACCTCTTCCTCGTCCTTCCAGCTATGACTCAGGAACGCAGTGACCTCACCCAGCCGCGCCGGAATCGACTTCGCTGCAAGGTCCGAGGCGGCGGGCGTCGAGACGGGTGAGGTGCGTCGCGTGTCAGTGGCCCCGGAACTAGCCAGATCTTTGGCAGTGAGGCGGCTGGCCGGCAGGCAGCGGAAGAGCGCCTCTGCGTCCGCGAGCGCTCTCTCCGGGTTGGCACGTCCGACGAGCGCCGCGATGGCTGCCGCCTCCTCTGCCTCGCTACCGCGGCCACCAACTCGTCCCAGCCAGCGAGTCACCCGGCCACGGTTGGCGGGAGTCGCAATAGCGGCGATCGCGACGGAGACGAGCCCCAAAATGATGTGACCGATCCAAGCCGAGCGGACTGGCAGCAGTCCGGCACCAGACCAATGTGGGTGGTAGGCAAGCACAGTGGAATAAAAGCCAACGGAGAGCATCCCATAGCAGGCGGAGTGTAGGCGCAAGACAGCCCACATACGCTGCAGCGCTTGGCGTGGCTGCATGATTGGCAGGTGTTTGCAGCCGCCACATGGCAGCGTGGCGGCGAGCGCTGCGGCCGCGCTAAGGTGCGCCACGATCTTAGGAAGAAAGAAGCGTTGGCACTCGAATCTGCCAACCCGTCCGTGAAAGCTACCTTCGTGCCTGCCAACTTCTATGCAGCGAAGAGCGTTATCGTACGCGAGACCCATGTAGAAGGCGACGAAGATAGCGCATATTGTGCGAATCGCGCGCTCGTCGGTGGGGAAGAGGGCGAGCAGGCCCAGAAAGAAACCCAACCTGACCGAAATACACCAGTAGTCTTTTTCTCCCACAACATTGTCGATCGGGGTCCCCGCGGCGGCCATTGCCGCTGGCAAGATCCCATACACGACGAGCGCCCACCCAACCTGCCCCATCGCACCGCTGACCTGCAGCCGCCGCCACGCCGCCGAGCGACTCGCCTGGCGGAGCCGGCGCGCCATCCGCACTAAGGCCTGCTCGTGCGTGCTCGTTGTTGGAACGCCAGCCACAGATGAACGGGATTGCCGGCGAAGGCAGAGCCCGACCACCAGGAGCGTAGGCAGCAAGCTGATGACAGCAGCGACGGAGTAGACCACCGACACTGTCACCCGAATTTCACGCAACCGCGCCTCCAGGTTGGCCTCGAGCTTTACGAGGTCCTGTTCGAAGTTGTCCGAGACGGTTGACGACGACGTTGCGCACAGGCAGGCGTACTCGCCCCCTTTGCATCGCCTGTCACCCCACTGCCCTTCTTGGCCCTCCTTGACGGCGCAATCCTCGGGTGCCTTTGTGGCGCAATTGTTGGGCTCCCCAGCCGCCCAGTTGGTGAAGGATGGCACCTCCCCGTCGACGCATCTTCCCCATCCCTCCGCAGGCTCTCGGCTCGTGTCGTGCTGGTAAATACCGAGCCAGGCCACATCATCTCCGATTAGTTCTCCAGCGACATTGTTCTCTGCCACCGAACGAATGCACGCTGGCGTTGATCCTTGAGCAGCGCACAAATCAACACAGGCACTCAGCGAGGACGCACGCTCGCGCGGGACGCCCAAGCATCTCGAGGGGCTGTCAGGGCTGACTCGCCAACCGTCAGGGCAAAGCGAGCGCGTTCCCGCCGACTCTCCCGCCGCTGCTATAGCCGCTCCCGATACTCCTGCCGCTTCTGCCGCCAGCGCAATCGACGTCGGCGGCGACAATTCCGGCGAGCGGTTTAGCTGGGCGGGAGACGGCAGCAAGACAGCCAGCAGCAAGGCTTGACCCATCCTTCTTCATCCCCCGATGCTTCCTTCTTTGTGCGTGACGCGACTCTCGAGGTATCGAGGGATGCCGCAATCACGGCCCTCTATATCTATCTATCCATCTCGGAAAGGAGGAACCTCTTCCCAAGAGCACCACTCTTGGAGCGCCGCCACCACCACCCAGCGGAGCGCTGCAAGCAGCGCCGGGCAATGACGGCTTACCGCGCCCACCCAGCCCGGCCCTCGGGAGAGAGATTGTTTGTTGCCCCCTCGGCACACCCCAGCAGCCAATGTGTGACGGCTCGAACCCGCTAAGTCATCCCGCAAGCGGAATGGCCCGCCACTCGATCCCGCAAGCGGGCGTACGAACCGCGAGCGGCTCGCACTCGTGGCACACAGGCGTCCAACTTTGGCTTGGCCCGTCTCTCCCTATCCTGCCTTTCCCATCCTGGCTCGTCGATCGCTGCCGCTCCCCACCATCCTGCCAGGTGCATTGTAGAAGAGCGGCTCCATTAGTACGCGGCCGATCGACCACTGCCCTCCGCGTCTCGCTTCCTTGAGTGTGCTCCTTCTGTGCGGCTTCGTCTCCATCGTATGGTACTATTCCCGTGGTCGTTCCAAAAGTGGTTAGAGTAATCTGGGGTGGTCGGTGGGGAGGTGCATGAAGTCACACAGTGAGTGGAGTATGCGCTCCCCATCCGGAGGTGACCGTAGCCCTCGTGGATGTAGAGAGAGAGATTCTTCTTGGATGTATGTCATTACGAGATTGACGCCCTTGTGTGTAGTATAAACTGCGGGTGAAAACCTGGTTTGTGGAGCTCCCGCACATTACCTAGAGAGCACGGCATTCCGCGGGGCCATGATCTCGGTTCCGCACTGGACTTTTTTTGTAGTGGAGAGAATTAAGGAATCTTTCTGCTCTGGCAGGCAGCTGCATCATTTCCCTTTACTTCAATCAGCTGTGTGCACTCAAGTGCTATTACTGTCTGAATAGCTGTCTAGACGCTCCGATTTTGCTGTCTGGACGCTGTCTGGACACTGTCTGGACGCTGTCTGGACGCTGTCTGGACGCTGTCTGGACATGGAAGATCGCATGAGGTGTGAATAGACCTGCAGACAGGAATCATACTCTGATACTCAACAACACGTCGGCCAGCTGTGAGCGATCAAAACTTGAGTTGCATTCTCTTGGTTGGATGGATGGACGTGGTATGACGTATGTGGACAAAACATCTTTCTCAATGGAAACCGATGTGAAAGGACGGCGTGGCGGCGCCGCAAGCGCGTTCGGTCGCGCGCGCCCCGAGGCCGCCGTCGTGGGTGCAGCGTGCGTGCCTGACTGAACTGCTGGGCTCGCGCTTTGCCCGATGCGCAGCGGCGGGTCGACGTGGCTACTGCCGGCCCGCAGCTTCTTCATCGGCTGCGGCGCGGGGCTCGCGGCTGCAGCATGGAACCCGACCAATGTGTGCCCACGCTTGCTCTGCCCTTTCCGCAGCATCGTTGCGACGCTGGCGTTGCCCAGTTGCCGCCACAGTTGCCGCTCTGCCCGAGTTCTTCGCGGGCACTTTGGGGGACCCTTCTGTGAGAGGGCCTGTCTAGACAGCTTAGACAGCTGTCTAGACAAAACTACAAGTTCAAACTTCAAGTTCTCAAGTTCTCTTAAGTTAGGCTGTCTAGACGCCCCCCCCCCCCTCAATGGCAAGTAAAGAAAGCGGCATGCGGATGGGTGGGTGGGTGGGTGGGGAGTGGCCTCGGCAGCGCCAGGGGTGCTGTCAGGGGTCGTCCAGCCACGACTACGAGACTTTACTGTGAAGAGTGGAGCCATGTGCCACTGTCTGGACGCTGTCTGGACGCTGTCTGGACACGCTGTCTGGACGCTGTCTGGACACTGTCTGGACGCTGTCTGGACACTGTCTGGACAGGCTCAGGACTGTCTAGACATGTGCGGGAGCTCCACAAACCAGGTTTGAAGACCTCCACATCCTGGCAGCGTTGCCCGCCCTCTGCATACTCTTGAATGAGCGTCTCCCTCTTCACCGCATGCCGACGCACTTGTTGTAGCCCCTCGGCGTTAGCTGGGGCCTCAAACAAAGAATCTCTAGAGTGCCGCTGGCTGCTCCAGGGCAGCCTGCCTACAGAGAGAGCCCCTCCCGCTATGTCTATTCAAGCGAGTGCCTTTTGTTGTGCAATTCTATTCAATCGGAAAAGGGAGGGAATGAGTGAAGGAATGGCGCCGACATTCATGAAGGACGTAAAGAGTGGAAGAGGTGAAGGAAGAGACTGGCCCGGAGTCAAGCAAGCCAGCCGAGGCGCAGTCCACCGGCGCTCCTCCCTCCTACCTCATTCGCCCCTCAACCACTCCGCCTTACACCACACCAGATCGGGCAACACCTCACCGCACGAACCCGTGCCCATCGAGAGCACACGCCGTGAGCGCGACCCGGCTCCTCCGCCCGCAGAAACCATGCTTGCCAAGATTGCAATCGCCGCAGCCTTCGTGACGGTCGTGAGCGCTGCTCCCATCATGGACGCATCTCAAGCGGCTAGCACTCCGGCGATCCAGAACATCACCGTGGCATCTGTTCCGATCGTCGATGTCACCGGCGGCAGCGCCGGCGGCTGTGGCGGCACCCAGATAGGCTGTCTGTGCCCGGAGGCCGGCTGTCCAAGCAAGCCTCAGCCGCCACAAGCGCCGCCGACGCCGACGCCGACGCCGCGAATTTCGGCCTGGACAATCGTGATGCTATTGCTGCTTGCCTTCGCGCCGCTGCTGATAGGTGTCAGTCTCTTTGCTCGCGAGCAAGCGAACAGCAATGAGGCGGAGCACTCAGCAGCACGAGTCGGTGGAGATGTCTCTGCTCCGGGACCGGCTCAGCGCCGCGCAGTCTGCAGACAACAAAGTGCGCTTGCTCATCACGCTCAGCTCGTTCTCGATTGGCTGGATTGTGGGCGTCTACGTCGAGGCGAGCTTGAGGGTCATGGAACTCAGCATTGTCTCTAAAGTCGTCACTGGTGTGCTCGCTGTCTTGTCCCGGCTTCTGGTCCTCCTCGCCTGCCGTCCACTCGACCAGGTTGGCGTCCGTATGGCTGGCCTTCTCCTTGGCACCCACCGGCTCGTGCAGCGCTGGAACAGGCCGAGCTCATAGGGCGCCGAGCTCGCCAGCTGCAGCCCTGCAGTTCTCGATACTGAGCCCTCCTCCCGACCCGCTCTTGATGTCCATCCGGTCCGCGCCGTCCAGCTGGGCGGCGCCGTCGCGTACGAGCCGGCCTCGACGCGCTCGCGGCTGCCGCGGCGGCCTCGGAGGCGCGCTCGGCGAGCGGCCGCGCTCGGCGGTGCTCCTGCTGCTGCCGTGCCGCCGAGCGGCGTCGAGGCTCCAGAGAGGCGATGCCAGTGACCGGCCGCGTCGGAGGCCTCGCTCCGGTCAAGTTCCTCGCGCTCTCTCCACCTCTCTCGCCGCAGTTGCGTAGGCGACAAAATGAGCTCGCTCGCGAAAATCACAAACAGTTGGAGTGGGAAGGGGTGCTGGGCCCGAGCCGGCTTGACACTGCGGACACGGTCCGTCTGCGTCATTCCCCCCAGGCTGATTCGCCGTCTCGTACTTCCTCGCGCTTTTTCTCACCCTTGCCCAGAAGCTTCCCACGCCAAAATGCGGCGCGATGCAGTCCTGCTCGTGGAGGTTTGTGCGTTGAGAACAGAATCCAGTGCGGTGCAGTGTGGCAGCTTGCGAGGAGCGGTGACGGGTCGTTTGCCCGTGGAGCCAGTTTGCCAAACCGGGAGGGGCAGAGCGCGGGGCCGCTCGCACTGTCACACCTCGCACATCCCGTCCTGGACACATCACTCGTGGATAGTGCGCAGCCGCCGCCGTGTGCGCCAATTCGTCGAGAGTGCGCAATGACCGGACGCTCGGGAAAGGTTTATGTAAGTACATTTGAAAATGGCCGAGTTCGTCTCAGTTATCGCCTCTCAGTTATATCGTGAGTCTTTGTCTCTGACGTCCGACGACATGTCACATGAAAAGTCATGAACATGACAGGCGGCCGGTCTCGGGGTCTGAGACTCGCTGCTGACCGCCGACATTCCGCTCTCTGAGTCGTGAGTGTGCGCCCTGGAGGCCGGCCTCCCGAGTCGCCGGCGCCCAGTACGTCAAGCTCCCAGCTCATAGACTCAGAGAGGGACGTGGTGGGCGCAGAAGCGGGCGAGTGATGTCCGTTGCGAAAGCCCGAGGGCGGCTCGGCAGCCCCGGGTCGGCTGGCGAATAGCCTGCCGTGCCGTCAAAGAGCAGAACGCGTAAGCAGCGGCCGAGATGCGCTGTCCTCGGCCAGCGCGGGTCCTTCGTCGCGGCGTCGCGGTCTCCTGGTCGAGGAGACCGGCGCAAAGGGCGTGGCTCACTCGCGCGGCAGATTAGCGCGAGCTTCGGCCGAGCACAATGCGATTCGCCCCACCACCCATCCGAACGAGATTGAGTTCGGTCCGCGGGCACGTCGAGGGCGAATCACGCCACGCGGCGGTGGCGGCTCGGGCAACATACACACGTCCTCGAAATAGTAGCGCGCCGGAAGACCGAGGCAAAACTCCGCGCGCCCGAGACGACCTGCGCGGCGGGGACGGCTCTCTCGACTCCGCGTGCACGAGTGGGGGCCTCGGAAGCGGCGAGATGCGGCGCCGAGAGAGGGAGACATGTGCCGCTCTCGCGCCTGAGCGCCAAGCGCAGGCGTCGCGAGCCGGTGGCGGAGCCGCCGAGCGTCGCGAACGGTCCACCGCTCGCGCACGCGTGCAGCCGGTCCAGGGCGGCTAGGCAGAAAGAAGAATGGCGCGAATTGAGGCCGTACGCGCCCAGCGCGAGCCTTGTTCCAGAGCGGCTGGCTGTCGCACGAGCCGGATCTCTACAACGCCATGCCGACTCTGCATCGGTCTTCGATACCAGACGCCTGTGGCTTGATGGTGAGCTGTGCGCGGGGGTAGATTACTCGTTCCGTGCCTGCAACAACGCGCGGTGCTACATATTTGGCATCGTTTTCGTCGTTGCCACTATCTCCCGCTCGCCACGCCGCGTCCTCCAAAGACTCTGCACTCTTCCGCTCACCGAGCACAACCGCGGGCGCATCCTGCACTTCATTTCTGGAATGGGCCTCTCGGAAGAGTCTCGGAAGCTCGCCGCAGTTGGCAACCTGCTGGGCGCCTCGTTTTGCAACCCGGTGGACAGCCGGGTCGACGTGGCAGTGAGCACATTCACCGCAATTCCTTTCTCCGCGCTCAGTGCCGAAGTGTTTCGTTCGTCCAAGGCAACGAGGGAGGAGCAGGAGGATGCAGTGGCGCGGCAGCTGCGGCGCGTGGGCGAAGTGGATGCATTCATATCTCATGCATGGGCGGACGACGCCGATTTGAAGTACGCTGCGCTCTCAGATTGGGTAAAGGACTTCCAGAGTCAGCACGGGCGCGAGCCTCTGCTGTGGCTGGATAAGCTTTGCATCGACCAGAGCAACATCAAGCAGCGCTCTCTGCGTGGGCTTCCTGTCTACATTTCGGGCTGCAAGAAGCTGCTCGTGTTGGCCAGCCCAACCTACTGCACGAGGCTGTGGTGCGTGCTTGAAGTTTTCGTCTTTGTGACACTGGGCGGACGGATCGGCGACATCACGATCCTCCGACCGACCGCATGCACCGTGGCGGACCCAGATGCGCCAGAGAAGCTCAAGCAGCAGCTCCTGGCCTTCAAGCTGTCCAAAGCAAGATGTCTTCGAGCCACTGACCGAGACCGCATTCTCTCGACCATCGAGGCGGTCTTTGGCTTCCAAGACGCCTTCAACCGGGTCGTGCGCGAGCTGATGGGGCGGCGTAGCTCGTGGGCCGGTCCGTGTGTGCCTTGACTGGAACCCGCAAGTCCGGCGCCATTCGAGTCTCTCTCTAATGCCTCGGCGATGCTGATGGTGATGTGTAGTAGAATGGCGATGGTGATGTGTAGTAGCATATTCATATTGCGCCGCGCAGCTAACGCGGGCTTGGTTGGCATCTCCTCCAGTCCGTCATTACGTCAGTAGCATGCCATCAGTACGTCAGTAGCATGCCATCAGCACGTCAGTAGCATGCCATCAGTATGTCAGTAGCATGCCATCAGTACGTCAGTAGCATGCCATGCATTACTACGTGCCTCCCCTCTCACAGCAGACAGGCTGGGTTGTCTGTTTTCTTTATTTCTTTATTTCTTTCAGACTGGCTAAAGAAGAATTTTACAACAAAGCTCCATCGCACGACACTGGGCACGGGACTGGCGCGCACTGGCACTAACACAGGCACACAACGCCTAAGTAAGCGATACTCCCGCGAGGGCGGCGAGGCACTTTTAGCTCCGTGCACTCGCCCACCCTCGCCACAGGCAAGCTCATTAACTCACAATCTGCTCTGCGATAAGCAGGAGAAAAACGACGAGAGTGGGACGACCGCGAGGTGGCATGAAGTTGCAGCGAGAATTGGCGAGGGACGGCGAAAAGAGATAGGAAAAGAGGCAGACGCCCGAGGGGGGTGACGGCTAGCCCACCACACTCCTCTCCTTAAAATCCCTGGCCCTCCCTTGGGTCGTCTGTTTTCTTTCTTTCTTTCAGATCATGATTCTACCAATTTCGGCCCCTTAGTAACACGGCTAACGGGTCACACGGGTCCACACGGGTCCACGCGTTTCACTCGGGTCACACAGGTCCTCACGGGTCACATGGGTCACAGGGTACGGGCCCTCAACGGAAGTCAGCCCATTTGCACTTCCAGCACTCGCGTTGGCAGCCAGGTCCCGCAGTGAAAGCTTGCCATGACGCCTGGCAGTTTCCATGACCCCAGCCCCAGTCGCGTTGGCAGGGGCAGCGCCTCGGCCCGTGAGGCAAGTCTTCGTGGAGGACGAGCCTGAAGCGCCCCTCTCGTCTCCTGCCGAACCCAATGTGCTCGAGCAGAGCCATGGCGTCTTTGGCGACTGGCAGGCAGAGCGAGGCGCTCGTGCATACCTCGTCATCAGTCCACGCGCGATCACCGTCCGCTGCTGCCGCCGCAAGGATCAGCCGTGCGCCGGCAAAGCTGGGGCTTGCAACACGTGACCGTGAGCCGCAGGCCGCAGTCACAGGCAGGATGCCGAGGAGCTGGGAGCAGGCAAAGCAGGCTGCGTCGCTGCACACACCCCTCCCTGCCAAAAGAAGGCGCTGCACGAGCTCTCGCTTCGGGCCAGACGCGTCGAACCCGATGGTCGACAGCATGCTGCGCAACCTCGAGCTGGAGGTTCTGGCCAGCGCAGGGTTGCGCATGCGTACGCGCGCCAAGATGGCCTCTTTGTCGAGGCGCAGGTGGGTCTCTTCACTGCAGTCCTTGAGTGCCCTCGCAAGAGCTGGCCAGGCCAGTGCCCCACGAGCGGCACTGAGCCCATCGAGGTGCTCCACGATGCAGCTCATGGCATCTGCGCTTGCTTCATTGGCAGCATTCGTGCAGGTCGGTTCGGCATGCAGCGGGCTCAATCCGGCGCCGCCTGTACTGCTCTTCCACCCACCTCGCCGCTTCTCTTGCAGGAGCCTCCGCAGCATAAGATGCCCATGCACCGGTGATCGTGCCAACTGTTTGCAGCCCGTTTGTCCAAACTTTTTGACGCGGGTCAAAGCAAGTGACGGTCCACCATCCCGGCGGTAAACGGAACTCGTCCTCGTCCTCATAATCTAAATTGCTGCAGCTCTAGGCCATCGAGCCTGGCCGGTGGCACCCGTCAAGCGGCACTCAGTCGAAGGAACGGGCAGAGTCCTTTTACGTGTGACAAGGAGCCACGTGGCCCTGTTTCGCGTTTTTATTCCCCGCCGGTCCACGTTCACGCCTCGCGCCCCCACGAGGCGGCGCCTGTTGGAGGCGAGCTCGGTCGCGTTGTAGCGCAGAGCGTTGTAGCTCACGTGGGTGGGCGGGTCGAGCATGCCCAGCCTAGACGTCGGGCCAACCTCGGGTGCGCTCGGGTGAGCTCGCGGCGGGCGGGAAGGTTGAGCTGCGCCCCGCCGCGGAGCGCGTCCCATCTCCGCCGCGGGGGCCGCTAAGCCCGGCTGCGGCAATCGCATGCAATGCGGCATGCACGGCACCCTCGGCAGCGCCTGTACCGACGCCGCCGCCCGCGCGCTCGCCCGCAGCACCATCGCCGCCGGCCATCGCGCTGCTGCCCGCCTCGAGCAGCGCCGCGACGCTGCCGACATCCTGGGCCAGCAGCTGCGGCACCACCTTATCTGAGATGGGCGCAGAAACTTGCGCCCGCTCGAGGAGGGCCGCGATATCCTCGTCGGGAGCGATGGTCGGCCACGAGGCCGCCATCACGGTGGTGCCCGGCCGCGTGGGCCGGGCTGCGGTCCGGCGCTCGCTGGTGGCGGTGAGAGCGAGCAGAGAGAACGTTTCGCGCGCTTTTCTGCTCGGGGTTTTCTTCCTGTGTCGAGCCTGTGTGCTGTGAAAGAAAGAAAGAAAGAAAACAGACACGCCAAACGAGGGATGGGACGAGGACAGGGTCCCTGTGAGAGAGAGTTGTTTTGGATAAATTCTTTCTTTTCTTGCATTTTTGCTCCCGGCTTAGGGAGCAAGCAAGCCCACTCAACCCCAAGTACTCACCATTCTTACAGTGGTGTAGCTTGTGCAGAGGCTGCAGCCTCTGCTGGGGCGGAATGCGCGGGGTTTTCGGCGCGATGCCCTCGGCGAGTACACGCTACAGCTGTGCCGCACGCTCTCCTGCGCGCGCGTGACGTGTGGGACGCGTGCGCTGCGCTCAAACGTCGCGATTTGGCGATAGGCGCTCGAGCCGGCGCACAGCGGATAGGTGCGCCGCGCAGGGGGGGTCGGAGGGGTGCGAGAGGGGGCGTGGGTCGGGCGCGCACCGGCTGGCTCCGGGAGCGGCCGTCACGTCGAGGAGTGGGGCTGTCCGCGGCTCTCGCGCCGAGGCGTGCCGCTCTGCTGCGCCGCCGACTGCCCCTCTTCCGAGCCGGCGCGTGGAGGCGAGCCGCGGCCGGTGTCGCTGGTGCGGGGGCGGC